TTATATCATATTATCACACTGAACGAATATTTTACAGTCGGTGCAAAAATTGCAATTAATTGATTAATTGTGGCTGCGCCACCAATCAATTAATTGAGTTCAAAATAATTGCCCCTACAATCAATTATTCGGTAGGCCTGGCAGAGATCATCCGAATATGGAAGTGACGTTCATGCTAAATTCTCATTGTTTGGACCATCATAACATGATTGATTGACGAATCAAATTACTGATTTTACAAAATTTTGGGATTCATAAAGATTCAAGAAATATGCTATAAAGCAAATTGAGAGCTTCTAGTTTCTTAAAAAATTTTTTTACATTTTTTAGAAAGGATAAGGCACATGACCTTTCAAAAAGTATTGTAAAATAATGTAAAAAAATTCGTTATCAATTGTGTGCGCACAGATTTTATACACTGGTAAAATAAATGTTTACCTATCCGAATAATTTATTTCTTATTATAGAAAATAAAAGTATGTACAATAAGAAATACAAATAAGAAATGCGTAACAAAAAAAAAAAACAAATCACAATTTATAATTAGAGCAATATGGTCAAGTTAGATTTGAATTATTTTCTTGCGAAGATAATCGCCGATTGTTGATTAAAATTTTTACAGGAAATTATCGAAATTTATCGTACTTGAAAATTTGCTCATGAATTTAATTTCTGTACCCTTAGCAGAAAATTTTCGATGCAAAATTTTAGTACTACTATATGAGTAGTGCCAAGGGAAAATGTGACTTCGGGCTTTCAAGTTTACTGAATTTACCAGATAAAGGCCAAAGCCCTGGTAACACTAATTAAGTCATGTAGGGCTGAATTCAGTAAATAATAAATAAGTCCAAAGTCTTGTTTTCTCTTGGTGGCATTCATATAATCTTTAACCAGTAGAGAGAATGTAACACAACCTAGTAATAAAATTATTTAGTGAAATTTTTTGGCTGGTAACACTAGAGTCTTTACATTGACATAATAATAATTGATGATCAGATTCAAAGAAATCATAGACTCTGTAGTTAGTGTCTATACAAAAAAAAAAAAAAAAATCGAATTTGTGGTTACAAATTTTATTATGAACTAAAACTTGCACATGTGGCAACTTCTTCACCAAAGCTTTATGTGAGAATTGATAATATAAAAAAGGAATAATTCAGTAAGCCACATGTGTCTGTATTTTAATAAGCAAAAATATCAAGTTTATATTAAATCAAATTTTAAACAATACTATGTGAAAATCTCATACGTACGTAGATTTTCATAGTTTATTTGAAGTATATCAAATTGAATATTGAATATTGCATCTAAAGCTTATAGATTTTCTAAATTAATAAAAATCACATTAGATGTGTGATTACAGAAAATTGTAATAGCTATTTAGTTAAACTGATGTAAACATCGCATGCTAAATAGTATTCTAAGCCATAATTTATAAAAATATAAAATTGCATACGAAATAAAATATCTTTTTCAAAGATGAATATAGAAGGTACATCTTCAATTGAAATCGAATCTGAACCACCAATACCAATTAAACTACCTGATGGCCAAAATATAGTGAGATTTGTGCTATCACCAAATAGCAAGTACGCAGTAACATATAGCGAAAAAAAAATGAAGATGGATTAATTTGTGGATGGCAACTTGGCCTAGATCAACCCGTTAAACAAGAAAAAAATGAATCATGGCAGCTTGACCTAGATCAACCCGTTAAACAAGAAGACAATGAATTATACCAACCTATATCCTTCAAGCTTAACTGTTTGATAAATACTCAAGAGTTTAACGAGGGGGCTACCCAAATTTAGAGGCAGTTTCAAATAATAAACTTGTTGCAATAAATTGGAACTCAAGAATAACTGGTTCGTGAACATTTAGATAAAATAATTGATAATATTTGCAATACTTGAAATTAATCCTGAAAACATTTATTATTTTAAAGTTTATAATCTTGCCACTAAAAAGAAAGTAAATCTAAAATTATATCCATATTTAAATGATATCGATATATGGATTGATCGTTGTATATTTTATAATAATGAAGATTTCATAATGTGTGCAAAGCATAGTGTAATCGAAGAGTTCTGTGATTATTACCTTATTCTTAAAGGTTCATTTAAAAATTCAAATGAGCAAAGCTGGACAATTAATAATTCAATTTCATGTGGAAACGTTAAAGATGTAAAGTGTTATATGACTAAAGAAAAGATAATGCTTCTTGATAAATGTGGGTCATTAACACAATGGAATTTAAATACATTATCCTTTGAAAAACAATATCAATTAGACCCATTCCACCCTACCTACATCTTTAATTTTAATAGACATTATATATTACTTGCAGCATATGCAGCAACAGAAAGAACTGTTGGAATTATTTACATTTATTCTGCAGAAAATTCGATGCTTTTATCACAATGTAGGTTATCTAAATTTTTATATCACTGTTTGCAAAAAGGTGTTTATACTGTGAATCTGAACACCTTTCTGTATAACTATCGTTATTCTGAGTTTATTAAATAAAACCAGTGGTGTTTGTCTATAATTGATATACTCAAGCAACTAAACAATTGGCCAAACAATTGGTATTTAATATACTAAGCAATAACTTCAAAATCCTTATGTAACGCTAATCCTAGCTCTAGATTGATGATAATAGCAAAAATTTCTTAAAATATTAGTAGTGCAAACATCACTGGTTGATTTATTATAATTCTACTTATATATATCATATGGTTAATTAATAGGTCAAGTTACAAAAACTGGAACTTATTTCAAATATTTAGAATTTATTTCATTCGGTGAAGAGGAAAGATTACTTTTATTTTATAGTGATGATGCATTTAAATGGTATAGCGATGAACTTGATATAAGAGATCCTTACGATCTTCAACATGTTGAGAATGAATCTTTTTCAAATCTGTGTGAAGAACTTTTAAATAATGAAGCTTCAACAAAACCAGTTATTTCCAATAAAGGATTTAAACAGTTGATAGATGAAAAAATATATTATATATCAGAGGGGTGTTTATGGGTTCAGAAGGTTTCTAAAAACAATAGATCAAATATTTACAAAAAAAATTACAAGATTTTAATAAAATAAGAGTTTTACCCAGAAAATCTCAAATAGAGAAGATATTACAAGAACTTATAAGTGAAAATGAAGGTAATGATTCTATCAGAATGAAGGAAACAAAATCATATGAAGGATCATTAGTGAAATGGGAAGTAAATGGCGAGGAAAACGTAATACAGGCTTTTAAAAAAACTGATTCGAACACTTGGGAAGATGTATCGGTAGATAGTATAAAATTAAAAAATTTTAATTTGGTCTATTCTGATTTATCGAATATAGAAATGTATATTTGTAGTTGTGATTTGTTGCACAATGATGATTTAGTTATGATCACATCTTTTGGCTTATTTATATGGTCAACTTGGCAAGAAAACCTAAACATCAAAAAAATTAAAATATTGTATTATATGTCCTATAGAAATATGTCCTATAGAAATGTAAAAAATTCAGACATTAAAAAGTTATTAAATAGGATACAAGAGTATGAAAAAGTTTACTTCTACTTCCAGATTTTGATTTTCTTTTTGATTGTAAAAAATATGTAAAATATGTAAAAGAAAATAGACGATTATTACTTCTTAAAGAATTTCTAGATAACTTATTGGATAATTATATTGAAGATAATATACTAATGAAATTATATGGGCAAGAGCTTATAAAACTCTGCTTAAAGTTTCAATATTACTTATTGGCAGAAAAATTATGTAATAAAATATACAATGAACCAAACTTATCATTAATGAAATTATGTGGAGGAGAATTTCTAAAGGGTTTATTAAAACTTCAATTCTATCTACCAGCAGAGATATTATGTAATAAAATATGCAAAGAAGCAGAAAAGGATAACTTTTTAGAGAAGATTCAATTATTAAACATTTTAACCTTTTCATTTAAAGAATTAACTCAATATCCTCAATTATTAAAAAAATGTTTATCTTATATTTTATTTATACATTTAAATAATCATTATGAAAAAGTTAACTTATTCTTTTCAAAACCACATCTTCAGAGTCATATAAAATATTTACAACCTTCTGTGACTAGTAATATTAAAAAGAATATTAAAAGTCTTTTTACTTTATTAAAAATTTCTAAAAAAGAAACAATATTTGATCAAGGTTTTCAAACTGTAATTTTAAATTTTCTATTTCCAAAATTTAGTTCATACTCTACTATATATAGTTCTTGGAAAGAATTAATTATTCCTATGCCCAGTATTTTTTATTATTCTATATATCGATTTCCTAAATTTTATAAATATTGGTGTGGTGAAGCTCTCCTTAATTTTAAGTGGAATACTTATGGAAAATACTATTTCTTTGTTATTTTTATTTTTTATCTTACTTTTATGCTTAGTTTTCTGATAGTTGCTACAATTGAAGAATTATCAAATAGTACTCAAAATTTACTATTAATTACAACTATTATTCTTGGAATTTTACATCTTATTTTTAAAATTCGGCAATGTATTTTTTCTCCTATATCATGGTTTATTGAAATTGGGAATTATTTTGGTATATATACATATTTTAATCCTGTTTATTTAATCAATTTATAATACTTATCTAACTAATAATATTATATTTTAAGATATGGGTGCAATATTATTTCCAATATTAACTTCTATTAATTGGTTACAATCCTCTAATATGCCTATTTGGTTCGTTACAATTTCTATATTATTCTTTCATGCTATTGAATTTGGTGGCACAAATTGGGCAATAATTATTGGGGTTATACAAAATTGTTTATCATTTTTTGTAATGATTGAGTTTATTATGTTTGCTTTTGCACATTCTTTACATATTCTATTAAGATCAGATGTTTTAAATAATCTAAATAATTCAGAAAAATCAAATATAAATATGTTTACAAATTTAGATACAGCATATTTGGCCATATATGATGTTAACAGGTATTTTTAATTATATTAGGGTAGCTGCGCAATGTGTGATGCCACGCAGGACCAGTACAATCACGTATGCACGTGTAAATTCGATTATTCTTCACTAAGTAAATTAAATCAAATTATATTA